GGCCTCGAGCGCGGCTGTCTCTCCCCGATCCTTGGCCACGGTGCTCTACCGCCCGGTGAAACTCCCGCCGGTCAGATGGGGACCGGGGAGGGCCTGGAGGACCGACTGCAGGGTCAGAAGGCCACGGAAGGCCCCCTGAGCCGCCGTGCCGTTCACCTGGATGATATTTTCCTGTGGAACGGAGTAGGGATCCCCACTGTCGGCTCTGGAGCTGTCTCTTGTCGTCTGCATGACTTGCTTGGTTTGAAATATTGGAGAGGAGCAGCGCACACTCGCGGAAATTACATGCTAATAGTGCTGGGTGGTGACGTTCGTTTCTTTTTAGGTTTTTAATGGAAACAAATTAGGTGAAAGTATTATTTTTTAATTAGTGTTCATCGAGTGCCTGCGGGGTTAGGATCCGCTAGTGGAGACCTTAGTATGGCTTAGAATTTCAAGCCAGGAGTTGCAGTTCAGGCAGGTATGGCAGCGTTGTAAGTCCCATAAAGTCTGTGATGATTCAAAGCTGAACAAAGCTTTTTGCTTTGTCTTTCTTTTACAGAACACGTTAACATCAGTCTTGTGGTGAGCTTGCCTCAGTAGGAATATCTGTGATTTAGGTGTTACAGTAAGGATCATCTCCTTTAATAAGGAAGTCTGTGTCTTAGCAGCCCTTTAAAAACAGATCATTCTTCTCTTGGTTTTCTTCGGTTTTTTAAATCCTCAGTAGGTGGTGTGGGAACCTTTCATCTTTGACAGTGTGTGTTCACTTAATGAGAAAATTAGTAGAAGGCCGAAATTATCATCTGTCCTTTGAAAGCTTCCAGTTGTCATAGTTTTGAGGCTTGAAGGGATTGCCTCTATAGCTTTTATATTGTTAGTATGTTTGTAATCCTATTTATGTCCAAATAGATTACAGGAATGAAAGTGCAGCAGATGTCCCCTGCCTGTTACAGCTGTGTCTTTTAATTACACCTTGCTCTATAAAATTTGAATTGTTTACCTAATGACCGGGAAAAAGAGAGAAAATGGGTTTGTAGCTTCATTTGAGTCTGTGGCACTATTAAGACTTGAGAAGTTTGGAGGATTTTTTAATGAGAAGTTAAGGCTTCTTAATAGTAGGAAGAA